TAACATTAAAAGCTAATTATCTTTAACCTTTTTTAGTCATGGTGTAGTAGTTTTTTTGTTTTTTTCTTATCCTCACTTTTTGTTCTGATGATAGAGTACCGATAAACCAGTTTAGCTGTTTTTAACGGTTATATTTCAGTATTACCAATTTATGGTACCCTTTCTTTTCGTTATGAATGTTCTTTTATATGTCTGTTTTTATTGCTCTAATAATAAATATAATATATAATAAATATAAATAAATATCTAATAAATATAGAATTTTAAATGAACAAAAAATTTAAGTTAGAAATTTCATAATTCTGCCATCAGTAAAGTGACAGGTACTGAACAAGTTACTACCTAAAGATAAATTAAGGTGCAAAATGACCTTAAAAAAAAAAAATAATAATATGTAAAATTGATAGTTGATGAAATCCTTTATTTTACTGGTGGAGCAATTTAGAGAAAGTGTAAAATGTCTGGCAAGACAGGGGAAGAGACTCTTCAATTTCTTAAAAACTTCTCAAACATTCAGAGACCATTTTATAGTTTTAAGATATTAACAATATATTAAGATTTCTCTTTATGAATACCATTTATGGTGACTACACTTACCTGGCAGCAACAAATGCTCCAAAAATCATTAAGAAAACTGTCAACTGTACAATGCCAGCAGCTCTGGTCCTGCAAAAGATAGATTTTATATATATAATCAATTGCTGATACCTCCCAACGAGTGGACAGAGTGATTGCTAGAGTGTCCGTTTATGAAACTCTAGAATCAGAATGCTGAAGGTAACATCAATCAGCTAAGTGACAAGTTTTATATTTGTATTAATCACACACACATTATATAATTATTTATTTAAAAATATGATTCCAAATCGCGACATAAGAAGTCTCATGTTTCAAAACAAGAGCCGAAAACTTCAATATAATTATTTGAATTAAATTGAGTTAAAGTAATCTCTGTTCCATCTTCAAGCGAAATTTTTTTTTCTTGTTTTGAAACATGAGACTTCTTATGTTGCGATTTGGAATCATTTTTAAATAAATAATTATATTTATGCTCTACTTTTGTATCGAGCACTATTTTTTAAAAATAATTACTAAGGGACTTTGGATTATTTACCTAACCAGTTCCTTCCTATTTTCTATATATTTTCACACACACACATATATATATATATATATATATATATATATATATATATATAATTGCAACTTTTGTAGTGATTTTATAACATGCATATCTTACATATTTGAATATCTATCTCTGGTTGAAAACACTAAAATTCTATATAAATCACATTGCTGGAAACATTCCACTGTGAGAGAGGCAGTGAATATTAAACATCTCGCTCCCACTATCAACCTCACTTTATTTAATTAGTGGGGATGGTGTGTTGAAACTTTTTAAAAAATAGAAAGACATTCACTTGTATTCCAGAATAAGCTCAGAATAAACACTACTAGTATACAAAAACAACACAAAAATACATCTTAAAAAGTCAAAACATGAAGAGAAATTAATACCTAAAACAAACCCCCTTGAAAATGGCTAAAAAAAAGTGACTAAATGTGCTTGGGGCAATGAACAATATGGCCAGTTATTACACTCCTTTACTATTCCACCAAATAAAAATTGTTGGAAAAACTAAATAAAAAATAAAATTTTCCTTCTCAATCATATTTAGCGAAACATGTTTAAAAGAAAGGTGGCTGACTATATATATATATATATATATATATATATATATATATATATATATATATATAGAGAGAGAGAGAGAGAGAGAGAGAGTTGATTAGTTAGTTAAATCTCAATTTGTGAAGTATTCTATCCTTTTTGTCCTTCTTGATTTCCTTAATTCCTGCATGTTCAAAGATCTCAGGACTGGTCAAAAGTAGTTGTTTCACTATAACCTGCTTTAGTTTACATTCCTCTCAAGTTGAAATGTTCTTAAAGCCTTTTCATTTACTTCTAACTTCCAGCTTATATTTTCAACACCCCTACTTATCATTTGACAATTTCTACAAAGCTCCTTTGATATTTCCAATGTGGATATTCCCTCACAACAACTGTTATTTCATGTTTTTCATCATTTGTTAGATCCTTTCCATTACTCCTATTTCAACATATATTATGGAAAAAAAAAAAAAGTTTTTATCAGTGGACTTAAACTCATTGATCTGCATAATAACTTCATACTGCAGGCTTTATGATAAATTCAATAACTTTAATAAAACTTATTGAAACTACCTAAAAATTTAACTCAAGTTTTGTTTTGGCATCTGAATTGCTTAAATGTGACAAAAGTTTTCAAAGAAAATTTGAGGTTGATGTGATTTGCATAATAATTTCAGATGGACTGTATACATGAGGTGTGTTGAAAAAGTATCCAACTATTTTTTACCACAAAAACTAATGCTGTGTGGACAAAATCCTTTGGGTGGGAGATGAAAATTTTTGTGCCAACCGGCTGAATCAGTTCCCAGCTGTTACTCCTAGAGTAGACATGTAGTGTGCATTTATTGAATTCTGGTTTTCATACAGGATGTCCGAACACATCAAGCAGAGATATTACATCAAGCTTTCCTGGCCAAGAACAATACACCACTTGTTTGACAGGCTTCATACTCTCCAAACTTGGCACTGTGTGACTTCTGGCTCTTCCTCAGTCTGAAAACATGCAATTTCCTTGCAGAGTTGCTTCTACTGTTCCACCAGCCGCTTGGGGACAAATTTCACTAATACTCTCTACATGCACAAATCTTCTGTTAAAATGGAATGGATTGATCCTGTACTTATTCCCACTTTGGCTTGTGGATGGCCTGGCTGAGTGTGCTTCGTTCTCAACCGAGGTGCAGCAATATTTGAAGTGGTTGTCCCGTTCCTTGATCTGAGTTTTACCCATGGTATTATCACCAAAACTTGATGCAATGTCTCTGCTTGATGTGTTCAGTCATCTTTTGCAAAAATGAAAATCTGATGAACACTCACTACACGTCTTTATTCTAGGTCTGATGTGGCCTACCTGTGCAGAAATTTTCATGCATGTGCAGGAAGGGTAGTATCACTTCCCCAATCAAAGGATTTTGCACACACGACATTAGGAATGCACTTCATATATATATCACCTGCACATATACAAATATATACACACACACAGAGACACAAATATTTTATTGACACTGTCAATGAACCTGGTGTCAGGTTTGAGCTGCAATGCAACAATACTATGTCTATTAAATTTAACCATCTCTTTTTTTCTAAATTGTGAACAATCATCTGCAAGTCTTCCTGCTGGAGATGCAAAAAACATTGAAAATAATGGCCATGTCCAACATTTTGACTTGCATGAGTCATCATCAGGAATATGTACTAGTAAAGTAAGCTGAAGAAAATCTAAATTGTTTTAAGCAGTACATTTTTAAGTGTTATTTTAGATTGAATAAATTCAAATGCAAGAAGTCTTTTCAGTGATGTCCTGCTGTAACAGGCATCAGCTTTTTTGTTTTTTGATACACAAAAACTTTTTTTTTGAAAAAAAAAAAAAAAAAAAAAAACTATTGCTGACACACAGCCTTCACAAGATAGAGCAACAGCTCGAAAACCATTAAAAACACACAAATGATTTTAAATTGCTACTCTCCATTTCACACCAGAACAGCAATCATCAATAATAATAAAAGATGAATGAGGATAGCCTTATTAGTTATGTACCTACAACCACATGCACACATGAACACACAGGTAATATGCTTCTCTAATCAAGAGGTAAATAGGATAAAAGATACTCATTTTCATGCCTGCATTAAATAAATAAACTGCTTGACTAAGGAAATGCAGTAATGTTTAATTTCTCCTCCAAACACAAATTACAAATTTGAGGACCCTAAATGCAAACAAATAGCATTTAACAAACTTCTACTTCATGTATCTATCACATTTATTTTTTCTGATCTAGTACATACTTTTTGACAATATAGTGCTGTTTTCATATTGTTCCCCTCTGAAATGCCCTATAATTAATATATCTACTTCCAAGGTCCTTTCAATGTGTCACCATATCAGACCCATCATCTGCCTTCACAGCAGCTTTGTATACTAGATTCTGCACTAAATATTAACCATCCAAGAGTCTTTATTTCTACAGTTATAGGAGGGGCCAGAATTATAACAAGCATTAATAGTGCCCAACATCTTATTTTAATTTTTCACCAACTGAAACATGTTATTCATGCAACAGTACTCTTAAGTACCTAATAGTGTGTGTGTTGTTTTTTTAGGTAATTTTACCACTTGGCTTATTAAGACTGCTTATTAATTTTACACTTTTTGTCCACCTTTCATTAAGACCTCCATGCTTATTGCATATTGAGAAAAAATCCAATCTCTGAATTATTAAGACATTCTTTTGTATATAAGATTAACCGTTGTTGAGGTAATTCCTGTTTAATATCTTATGAAACTTGCAAGATTTAGAGAATTTCAATTGAAAGAATCGTCTACACCTTCATGTTTCGCCCTCATGGAATATTTTTTGGTGTTAGAATTATTGAAGTTACTGGCAGACTATTATCCACCTGCATGAAAACAGCAAGTGGATAGTTAGATAAATATTTTATATTTATCAGGTTATTACCCTAATTACTGAATAGACAATAAACACTATTATGCAACATCTAATTCTAACTTAGTTTCAATTTGGATGTTATCTATTTTAGTATGATTACACTTTTTGAAGGCAGTGTATTTCTCGATATAATCCAATATCCTCCTTGTTCAAATATTCCTTTTTGTTTCAGAGTTAGTAGCCCTCTAACTTGCAAATCTTAGCACCACCATATCTGCTCATAGTAACACCAAAACAACTGCTATATATATATATATATATATATAAAAAAAATCAAAAAAATATCAACAAGATTACTTAACTGTAACAAGAAGTTGCACACAAAGAAGTGATTCACACACAGACATTTCAGAAAAATTACATTCTCTAATCCATGTGTTTTTCTTTATCTCTTTGAAATTCCTAGTCTAGGTTGGGAAGCAATTTGTGTCTTCTTAAATTGAAATATTTCCTTCGTGTTTTTTCTTTTTGTTTCCTCTTGTGTGTGGTTGACCAGAGTTTTATTTTTTTTTTGCTTTATTTTGTTCTTTGTCTCTCTCTCTCTCTTATATATATATATATATATATATATATGTGTGTGTGTGTGATAAATGTGTAGACAGAGTTGTCTTGTTTATACTTACTTTAAGATAAAATATTCTAGGATCATTGTAAACAGAATAGAAAATCTTCTCAGTACAGTGAACATGGGTAAACTGAAAATAAGAAAAACATCAAGGATTTTAGAAAAACGAAAAGGTAAATATTCTAAAGCAATAAAAAGAAAAATAAGAAAAAAAACTATAGACATTATTGTGCTGTATCAAGAGGTCTCCACAAGTTTCATGCAATGCCAGATATTAGGCAGTTCCATCTGATGATTGCCACTGCATGAAATTGAGTAGCAGATTTTGTAATATATATATATATATATATATATATATATATATGTATGTATGTAAAATTTAAAATGTAACCCAAAATATATCTGTAAAAGAACAATATGAATAAAGACAAAAGGAAAACTTATCTTAGCCAATATGTTTCATCCTCTGATCAAGACAAATTTAAGGATTTTATTTTGCAACAAGTATTTATAAACAAAACTAAAATGTTGGTGTTTTTTTAAAAAAATTTAATTTAATGATGCTGATCAATATTCATCAGGCTAACTGAAAAGTCTAGGTAAATTATGGAAGATGCTAAGTGACATAATTTTATGTCTAATAAGCAAAAGTGAATAAATGTTGTTTTTTTTTTTATTATTTAAATAATGTAATTAATATTTATATTATTTTAGTTTGGGACCTTGATAAAGTCCATCAGAGAAAGAAATACATCAGCTAAGATAAGTTTTCTTTTTGTCTTTAATCATTATATCACTCTCTCTCTCTCTCTCACACACACACCATTTCATCTGAAATCAGCTAATGGCCTCAGATAACTTTGTCATAAAAATCTGGGAAAATTCAAGTTCCTTGATCAAATTTATTGATAAATCCCAAATATTAAATCTTTAATAAGTTTTAAAATCAGAGCATCTTGAAATTTTACTGCAATTTTTTTGTTTTGTAAAAGGCTTTCAACAAAATTCTGACATTCATAGCTCCAAGTATATTACATGTACAGATTTGAAACAGGGGGACAATCTATATAAATAAATGCAAATGTCAGTGTGTCACACTTTTTCAACTTTACTCCTAGAGGCTGTTGCCCAACACAAACAATTTTGGAATCAGACCAACTCTGTGAGCAAATTAAAAACATTCTGGGCTAGATCCAACCTGCAGTCCTGAAATTTTGGATTTCTAAGTTTTCGTTACTGTAATTGTTTTGGTTATATATATATATATATATATATATATATATATATATATATATATATATATATATATATATTATTTTACATGATTCTTATTTGAAAAACAACAATTTTTACAACTTAGAAATAAATTTGGGAATAATTGAAATTAACTGCAAAATCCAGTGAAAGTCACCCATGAAAAAAAAAAAATGATTGTACAGAAAGTAAGGACCTACATACATTTAAATTGTCTTTAAATTACGTATCGTTGAACTTTTAAAAGGTAAGCTTAGATATCAATGCAATGCTTAAATGCAGTGATCAATTTGAAGTTTTGTAGTTTATTGTTGCCTATCACATACAGCAGCAGTATGACTTGCGAAAAGAAATCTCTGCCAACAGAGGATCAGATTTCAATCAAAAGACCAAAGGCTGCAGCAAGGAAAAGAAAGTCCCATGCAAATGAAAATGCAAATCAAATGGCAGAGCTTCCGATGCTGAGAATATGCAGACTCAAACTTTTGAACAAGTGAAAGGCCCAATAAAGTGTACTCCACCTGATAGGGTGGCTTTTAAGCTAGTAGTTAATATTTACTGTAGATTACAAAAATATGAACAGCCTATGTGTTTTATGTACTCTTATTTATAGAAGGGCTTGAAAATGGCTGAAATGTGAAAATGCAAGAACATGCTGTCCACTTTAAGAGCTTATTGTTTACAAAGTGTCAGATACAGCATCAAAATGTCATTTATAGATAATTTCTATGTAGAGACCAGATTCGTCCCTGTTATAGAAATATCAGTATTATTCTCCTATGTGCCATGTCCTTTCAGGAGATGGGTGATCATGACTCTCAAAAAGCTTCCTATTCCTTGTGGCCCATAGCAGTTTTTCTCCCTTTGCTAAGGCTCCCACATCCCATTCCACAATTCATTCACACAAGCTTGTTGGGCAGGTTGCTCACTGCTTTCCCCGCATCTCTCTTGTCATCAATACACCCTGTGATGGTCAAGTTTCCCAAGGCCTCTTTCCTCATCATGTGTTCACAGAATTTCAACTGCCTCTTCCTGATTTTGTGTTTAAGTGTTCTTTTTCTTGCCATTTTCTATAAGACTTCCTCATCATTTACTTTATATATGGAAATGGCTAATATTACCATTACTATAGGATGATGACAATGATAATAAAAATTACTATAAAAATAGTATATATAATTATATATTTCTGAGACTGTCAAAGATGTTGCATTTTATCATTAAAGATAAACTGAGCAGCACTAAGCTCAAATGCTATTGTTGTATCAACCGTAGTCAGGATAATAGAGTCCATATAAATGATCTTCTCCTTAGCTACATAGTATGTGCTTGCTGATTAGCCTTATATTTAATAGCCTATTAACCTGATCTTATAGTTGTAGCTCCAGTTCTACATTTGTGTTATTCATTTTAATTTTTTTTTTATTGTATATGATTTTGTAATATTATTATTAATAATAAAATAACGTTTATTAATAAACTTCCTTATATACATATTAACAAGCACTGCTTCAAAGTCAGCAACATCTGTGGTAACCAATTGGTCTCATTCAAAATATTGCCACACAATATTCAAAAGCAGTTCCACCCTTTGGAGACATCTTCTCTAAGCTAAGTTCCACTCTGAAAAAGAACACGACTAAGAATTGCATATCCAATTCCATGTAGTTGTGGCAAAGAATACAATTTTCAAAGTATTAGGCCTAATGTTCTTTCCTTCTTAATTAAAGACTCCCATATCATTTTCTATGCTAGGCCTACTGAGGAGATTATTAGTGTGTTGATCCTTTCAATCACCTTATTATTCTAATATCATTCCACTGAGTTTGATGACCTCTAGACATGATCAGCCATACCTGATTTCATCATCTCCTAGATTACAGCTTTCTGGTGTTCAGCTTGTCTTGCCTTTGTATTCTCTGCCACAATTACTCAATTAAATAAGAGGTTGTGTACAAGTCATATACTTTAGTTGAAACAAGCGGCATTAAGTTTAAGGTTCCAATTTAATTGTCTTTTTATCCTGGTGGATGAAAGTGAATCAAATTACCTGGGGGTTGTGAGTTTAATTTCTAGGTCAGGTAGTGAAGAAAGTCATATTTTCAGTGGATGAAACAAGCGACATAGCTTGAATGATACAAGATTTCTTCTGGTAAGAAAAGCAGAATGAGAATCGTCTCTATCCATGGATTGAATAAAATTCTTGGTTCAAAGCGTTGACTATGAAAGATACTGGAGGAAGTGGAGAGGGCACAATGGTTGAAACATTGTAACAATCATAACCAACAAAAGGACACTAGTCTAAAGCAAACCTGTGTGTAAAACGATACTTTCTCATTTAAAAAAAATCCAGACAAAAATAAATGTACACTCCAAAACTATTTTCCACAATATTTGACAATACATATTTCATTCATTTCATGAAGAAGAGAAGGCAGAGACAAAATTATTACCCACTGTAATGCTAGCATTCATGCAGAGAAATACCAGATGTCCTGAATTGAATTTAATATCAATAAGGAACCTTTGTTCTAAGAGGAGCAATACAAGACTAAATTTTTTTTGTTCCATCTCTGTCCAATGAGAACAGACCAGCTGGCTCAGGGAAGTTGTTCAATGTCTTGCAGAGCATGTTGAGCAAAACAGGTATCATGTGGGTGGGTATTATCTTACTGGAATAACATCAATTTCTAATAAGACAATGAGACTAAATCTCTCATGTTGCATTTCTGTCCAATGGGAACAGAGCAGCCTGCATAGGAAAGTTGAATGTCTTGCAGAGCATGTTGAGCAAAGTAGGCTTCATGGGAGTAGACATCATCTTACTGGAATAACACATTAATATTTTTGTAACAATGGCAACAGAACAGGTTATTTCCCCATCTGCAATATCTTATATGAACTCAAAAAGAACTGACTGAACTTTTTCTTTCTCATGCACTGACGTCTTTTTAAAGAAAAGACGAACTTTATGGAGAAATGCTTAATTATAAAAATTAGTATATCTGTATTTAATGTAAATAAAATTTACACTATGTCCTTGTAGGTGATGGATTATTTTCCACCTTGCAACCACTTTCCCCACAGACAAAAAAATCGCAAGCCTCTTGCTGCTCTATCACTATTTCCATGGAAAGTTTGATTGATATTTAATACTGTATTTTTCTAAGGCTATAATTAATGCCAGATATTTTAATTTTTCTGTCAGTGTCTGGCTTTACCATAGAGTCAAAAAGGTAGCCATGGGTCCGGATTTACACTAGAGTCAAAATAGTAACCATGGGTCTGGTCTATACCAGAGTCTCCAAGTGTCCATTTTTTTTTTTTTGGCAGGAGGAGTCTTTTATAAGGCTATAATTAATGCTGGATTTTTATTTTCATTTTTAAAACACCAGATTTTGCAGATTTTAAAACTAATCCATGTGATTAATTACAAAAAACATATTTTAAAACTCAAAATCATTTTCTTCCTCCTTTCAAAACTCAATTTACAGATTATTTCTCTTAATTCATAATTTGATCTTTTTGTAATAAAATATTTTATTGACATGAATTTGTAACACAGTATTCAACTGTCAACATATTCTCCTTCACCATCTGTGACTTTGTGCAACGTTACAGTGAAATTGCATGTACCAGTATAAGAAGTAGGTACAAAACTAGTTATTTGTAAATTCATAACATCATTATTCAGTTATCAAAATATTTCCTGCGGCTTTCTGACATTATGATGCCTGTGAAGTAAACTGTGTATTCCATGAGAAAAGGACAACTCTGGTTATGATTTTATCAATTATTTAAGAATTTTTTATATTTTGGCCGAAGAAATAGTATTGCTTGGAGCAAAACAAGAGATAGTTTTGATAGTAACTGGTT